TGTTTAAAATCAAGTTCAGTACACATTCCTGTTGGAGTTATGCATACAATCGCACTTAAAAGATTAATGATACTCAGCTGCCATCTTTCTCTATGTCAACTTTATGTGGAGTAGTGAGGAATTACTTCAGTTTTTGACAAGTTGTAGTGAACTCGGTGTTTCCTGTTACACCTGTTACAGTGCAGACAGCCCGTCCTGGTAACAGATCTTTCTCCATGGCAATTCTCTCTTCTGACGTGGAGTAATGAGGAATTCCTTCAGTTTTTGACAAATTGTAGTGAACTCGGTGTTTCCTGTTACACCTGTTACAGTGCAGACAGCCCGTCCTGGTAACAGACTGTGTAGAACCACCAGAACTCACCTGCTCGTTGTGGCTTTACATCTCCTTTGCCAGATAGCATTTCTTTACTTCGTCTTGCAACACAACCTGCTTCTCTTCCTGCTTCTCAGAGAAGCTTTTTTTGTTTGTGTGTCATTCTTCCCTCCAGCTTTTTGAGGAAATTTCTAAGTATTCATATTTAATATGAAGCCTTTTGCCTTTTTTCTTGCATTTTATCTTTGAAAGCACTTCCATAACTGTCTCTGTCCAATGTCAACAGCAATAGCAACTGATACTTTCCCTTTGTAAGAGCTGTTCCTGGCACCATGACTTATCGCTGGTTTGTTTGGGGTTTTTTTTTCCCAAATGTGGAATACCTGTTGAGGTAACAAGCATTCATGAAACTCAAGGAAGGAATTAAATGCCTATGACTTAATTTACAAAGTGAAAATGAGCAACCACTCTAGCTAATTATAAGAACATGTTATAAGATGCAGTCTTGCATTTCAACCCTTTCTGGGCACAAATGCCTGGCTGTGGTTAGAGTTAAGTGCTAATGTGATGATTTCACAAACCTGAACTACCTCCCAAGTTAGACTCTTTCACCTATGTTTTTTTTAAAATACCCATTTATCCAATAGTTAAATACTAGAACGTTCACCCAAAATGATCTTCCCAAAAGCCAGATTTCTGTTTCTCTGTACTTTACAGCTTTCAGGGTAATGGCTTTCTGCTGAAAGGGTGCTTGAACAGAGACTTGTCTTCTGCTGTTCCATTTTGTGTGGAATAATCAAATGTTTACTGGATCAGAAGAGACAATGTGCTGGCTTTCCCCCCCC